CCCCCGGGCGTGTTCTGACATTAATATGCATATATGGTGCATATAATGCACAAAAATGTACATTAGAGGAAATTGCTTGAAATATGTGTGAATTAGACAAAACCTCTTACAAAAATACATATATCAGAAATAAGCTGAAATATGTGTATGAATTTTCACTGGAATTTCTAAACAAAGAAATTGCCAACTGACGTTGAAATTGAAATTGATTGGAAAAAGAAGAAACTGAGAGAAACTGAAACTGACAGATTTATGCACCCACACTGTGTGTGAGCATTCTCAGCAAGCCCTTATTCTTCGCCTTTGATCTGGGACCCCACAACAGTTTTCTAAACATGTAGTAGGCCAGATAGTTGGGTTCACACACTTATATTGGGAAGGGAGTTTCCCAGTGCCCTCTACCTTTTCCAAAGCCCTGTCCCCAAATGTGCTATAGCCATATAGGGCAGTTATATCAGCATGATGTAGGGAGGAACCTCTGAACATCCTAGTGCAAATCCAAAATTAGTTTAATCAAAAAATCATTTATTCAGGGGAGCAGAGCAAGACAAAAGGAGCCAGGCATGTAGGTAAATAAGAGCTCCCTGAAACTTTAGTTATACGTTCTGGTTTTCTTCTTATAAAGAACAACACCCTTTTTGGTTGTAATAATTGTTAGTCCTTCTCAGAGGAGACATAATGAAATTGATGGAAATGACTTGGGTCTACTGATCTCGATGAGTCTACTCGTAGTAGGACTTAGTTGAATACACCCAGGGAGACTTACAGGATCCTCTAAAAGGCAATTTGAGTTTTGGGAGATAGGGATTATTTTAAAGGTTTAAGAAATGGATGAAAGTTGATTACCCTGTGCCCACCTCAAAAGCTCTTTTCCTACACAACAGTTTCGTGAGAGCAACCTTCACCTCCCTGTTCCTAAGAGTGTAGATAAGGGGATTGCAAAGGGGGATGATGACCGTGTAGAAAAGAGAGAGGAACTTGTCAACTTTCAGGGAGTCCTCTGTCTGTGGGTGCAAGTACACAAGCATCCCTGAGCCATAGAAGAGACTGACCACAATCAGGTGGGACGAGCAAGTGGAGAAGGCCTTCTGGCGTCCTGTGCCTGATGGCATGCGCAGGATGGTTTTGGTAATGTGGGCATAGGAGCCCACTATGAGGGAAAAGGGGAGCACCACCATGAAGATGTTCTCTGCATACACAGCCAACTCGTTGGCATACAGGTCTGCACATGCCAGGCGAAATATGGGTGGGATGTCACAGAAGAAGTGGTCAATCTCATTGGGCCCACAAAAAGGCAAGGAGAAGACAAACCCAATTTGCAACAAGTGCACCACAAGGCTGATGGCAAAGGAACTGACCACCATCCCCACCCGCACCTTATGGCTCATGATGGTCATGTAATGGAGAGGCTGGCAGATGGCAAGATAGCGGTCGTAGGCCATGGCCACTAGCAGGAGGCATTCTGTGGCACCCAGGAAGAGCATAAAGAACATTTGTGCGGCGCAGGCTATCAGTGAGATAGAGAGGTCCCCTAAGATAAGATTGGCCATCATTTTAGGAAGGGTGACTGAAGTGTAGCAGATCTCCAACCCTGAGAGGCTGCGCAAGAAGAAGTACATGGGGGTATGGAGAGCAGGGTCCAGCGTTGTCACCACCACAATAAGGCCATTGCCCAGTAATATGGCCAGGTAGATGGCCAAGAAGGCAGAAAAAAGGAGGGCAGGGTGTCCTTGGTATCCCAGCAAGATGAATTCCTTCACTGTGCTTTGGTTCTTCCAGCATCTGGCCTGCTCAGCATCCATCTGCAGAGGCAAGTGAGGCATTTGTGAGTCTCAGTTCCAGTTTCTGGATCAGGATCAGGAGGACATTGGTGGGTGACAAAGGGTAAAAGTGCCTGTCTCCTCCCACTAGAGATCATCTGTCCTTTGCAGTGACAATTTATTGAGGAGAGGAGAAATAATCCAACAACCAAGGGCAAAACAATCCATTTACCCAAGAGTAAATGGTAAAGTCGACCAAAGGCAGACTTTGGTCATCTTTCACAACATGGTGCCCTTTGCAAGGCCAAAATCTGGTGCCCCAAAATAGATCTTCTCAATTATGGATCTTCTCAATTTTGAGCCCTCTTAGTTCTTTGCCGTGTGTGTGTGTGTGTGTGTGTGTGTGTGGTGGTGGTGGGGAAACTGCCAAAATCACCCTAAATCTGACGCTGTAGGTGGGATTGAACCCAATGGAGCTTACTCCTAAATAGACATGTACGATTGCACTGTGAGTGTGCGGCAGGGGGAATAGAAGAAATACAAAAAAGGGGGAGAGAAGAACAAAAACAGAGAGGATGAGTGAAACAGAAAAAGAAGATGGATATATGTGATCGAAGAAAGATTAAAAGTAGCTCATGCAATTGTTGCGGATTAGGGTTCAAGGTGATCCAGAGAAGGGTGGTCAGGCGCAAAAGAGGGAGGGCTTCTGCATCTGCATGTTTGACACTTATTTATTAATTATTTCAAATTCTAACTCACCCTTCCTCCCCAAAGAGAGGCCAGGGTAACTCACAACAATAAAAATGTTGTGTAACAGAATTCAAAGCAGCACTATAATCTATGGTCAGCTTCATAAAATTATTAGTCACAAGCCTGGATAATTTTTAATTTTTTTTTACATGTTTCCTGAATGTAGGTTAAAAGGGGGAATGTCTGATTTCCCTGAGTTCTTTCAGACGTCTTCTGAAAACTGTATTGTAGTGTATTCTTAGAAGACGGACTGGTTTGTTTGTTTTTAATCATGTTAACTGTGTGGACTCCGTAGCCTAAAATTCCCTGCTTTCTTTCCATTAATAGCAAATATTTTTGTATCTTACCTTTCATTCAAAATTCATGCACATGAAATATGCGTTGATGCAATTATGTGAATTTTAGGCTCCTAATTAATAGCCCAGGCTTGTTGTGAGAATAAAATACAATAAAAATAAAATGAGAATGTCTGCAGAGGGAACTATGTACCTTAAAGCTTGCCTCCCCCAATAAATCATGAGTTCTATGATCAGTGGAGGGGGCCCTTTGATTACTTCAAAATTTATCCCACCTTACTTTGTTGGGGGGTGAGCAGCCCCTCCTCATTCTGTTGGGTGGCTTGGCAGAAAGGCAATACATAAATACAGCAAGTAAGTAAATTAATAAAATAAAATAAACGTTGCCAACCAAGTCTTGCCCTGAAAGCAATACTGAGGATGTTTGCATTTTAGTAAAACAACAAACCTGTGAGGTAAACCCTACTTTGAGCAATAAGGACTGGTCCAAAGTCACCCAAGAAACTTTATGGATAGAAGGGAATTTCAACCCATGTCCCTTTGCTACCAACTCAACACTGTAGTCCTTATATTACACTGGCTTCATGAATCTGCTTTTCCCTCCTGCATGAACAAGGAAGTACTAGTTCTGTGGTATGAGGATTTCCATTGCTCTGCAAGCGTCTGTCAGGCAGTCTGTGGTGTGCCCACATTAAAAATCCACATTGATTTTTCATTGTATTTTATTCTAATACTGTGTTTATCGGATTACAAAGAAAAGAGATAAAA